CAGTAACTCTTGTTGTCTCGTTCTTCACGTATGTAAACTGAAACCCACATTGGATGGCATACTTACATAAAACGTCACGAAATTCTTGTGCACCTCCAACAAACCGTTGTCCCACATGCGTAATACCATTTACCCAAGGGGCTGACAACAACACCTTCTCGTTATGGTGGCAAAACCTCCGTAATGCATCAATTTCTTCCTCAACCCCCACATGCACCAATCCCAAACTAGTTGACTGACTAATACCACTTTTCAACTCAACCACAACTTCTACATGTTGTACCCCCATTGATTTAGCAAGCAGTAACATGTTCTGAAATTCTTCCTCATTGTTCAAATCACACTTACTAATCCCAGGTAGTTTACAGAACAGTGAAATAGAACCAGCAGACAACTCATCCCATTTCTCACACAAACACTCCACCAAACGAGAATAGCACATTGCGCGGGCAACATTTATTACAGTTGTGCTGCAACCATATGTACACACCAACAACATAAAGGTATCCATCTCCTATAAAAACACAAAAACACAACAACGAACAGTAATAAAAATCCATATGAAAATTCACTTTGTGCCAAAAATAGATGAGTACGCGTACAGTTCAAGTGCTAAATCCATAATTCAGAATACGAAGATGTGAACATTCACATTGTTGTTAACAACATGTCAACATTAAGCAAACATCAAAGTAAAATGAGAAAATCAACAATCTTCACATAATATTCGCAAGATGTGAACATTTATATTGACATAGACACTCTAAATTATATGACACACACAGAGCCTCATTCAGCAAACAACAATTTTAAATGAGAACGTCCACATTCTTCACATAATCCACATTAACAAAATGTGAACATTCACATTGACATATATACTGATAATCAAATCATCTACAGATATCCTCATTACGCATACGTCCAAGTAAAACGAGAACTACACATTTAATCAAAATCGACATGAAAAATCACATTGTGCAAAAAATAAAAAATTACTACGTGTACAGTTCAAGTGCTAAATCCATAATTCACAATACAAAGATGTGAACATTCACATTGATATTAACAAGTTGCCAAAATTGCAAACATCAAACTAAAAATGAGAACATCAACAAATTTCACATAATATTAACAAAATCTGAACATTTACATTGACACATAGACTCTGAATTATATCACACACACAGAGCCTCATTAAGCAAACACCAATTTAAAATGAGAACATCCACATTCTTCACATAATCCACATTAACAAAATGTCAACATTCCCATTGCAATATATACTGATAATCAAATCATCTACAGAGATCCTCATTACGCATACGTCCAAGTAAAATGAGAACTAACACTGTTCTTCACATAATATGAATGTACTCCCCTCCACAGGACCACGTAAGAAGCATATAATTGAAAAACCAGAGCATCCAATTCATATCAATCCAAAAACAGAGCATCTGCTCCATCATACAAATTAAACTATAAACTGAACATGTATTCATAATCAAATTGATACTAACCTTAATCATGCAATCCTACAATCCTCCAGAAAGTCGAACACAACTGATTCGAACTACTTAAAGCTCGGAAAATGTGACAGCCGAACACGTACCTCTTCGTCGTCTTCACTCGCAAACCACAGAACCAGACTACAATACCAAGAATGAAACCCTAGCACAACCAATCCTTGGAACGAGTATGCAAAATATAAACGTATCTCTTGGAATTGGATTGATGAAGAAAAACGTAAAATAGAAACTGCAAAACTGAATTAGCGAGGAAACAGCCACGTAATCAGGCACGTAATATGTAAATACGTATTAACACTGTACATATATATATATATATATATATGGGGGCAAAATAGTCCAGGAAAATATATTAAATTAGGAAAATGGACCTTATGGAATAAACAGAAAAGTTTATGGGACTAATCAGGTTATAATATTCTTTTGTGGACCTAATGGGTTATAACAACTCTAGAATGGATTTATCAATAAAAATCTCAATAAATTTTGATAAGTAAAAAAATACGTAAAATACATTTTAATAATTCAAGATATAATATAACTCACCTTAACTGTAATACCTTACTTTTTATTTCTACTATCAAAAATTCTTTTAACGTCCACCATTTCCCTTCTTCCTCTCTCTCTCTCTCTGTTTCTTTATTTTCTCTCTCTTTCTAACCCGGAGCACATCCTCCCTATTTATAGAAGAAAAACTGTGACTATCAACACACATGGAGTCCTCCAAGCGTGCCACGTGTTCACGGCAAATCGGCCTCAGATTTGGATTCAAATCCTTTTAGATCCATAGTTATCTAATTAATTTCCTATAATTACCTTTCGGCCCTAATTCATCTAATTAATTTCCTATAATTACCTTTCGGCCCTAATTCTTTATAAATAATTATATAAGCTAATTAATCCATAATTAAATTATATTTTATTATATACCAGCCATAAATTAATTATTTATTTATATTTTGACTCCTAAATTTTTAATAATTATATTATTTTACAAAATTACACATAATAATATATAATAAATTTTATATTTTCATAATTGTGATTAAATAATATTAGTATAAATCCTATAGAATAATTAAAAATTTGAGTTGTTATATGCCTGCATTTATTGATTTGGTCAAAATTTCCTGATCAGCTTTTAAAATCCCCTCATACAAATAATTATAGATACAATCTGTATATAGTCACTGCAGTATCTCTTTCAACTTCTCCCACACACTATAGTTAGTGATAAGATTGTTAAATTACTTTTATAAAAAATCTTTAAAAACATAATTTATATATTAAAAAAAAATCTAAAACAAATACAAATACCTATAATTCCTCATTCAGCAGTA